ACCTCACTGCAATATTGGTCTGAAGCCACCAACCTACTCTCACAAAATCTCAGACAGTGCATCATGACGCAGCCCATTCCTCAAAATATGCATCCGTGCCACCATATAGGACGCCGAAAAGCTCGAATACAGAGGCTACAGGGACTGGAGAATCGTCCTGACTTTTATTATACAGACGTCAGTCCCTACCCAAAGCAGCAACGGCAATCTCACGCTTTCGCTCTTGCTGTAGTCAACCGGGGTAAACTAGTCAACTCCGCTTCCATACGTACCTCATCCTCCGCGTCAGCCGAGGCAACTGCCATTGATCTCGCCATTCGAATGGCAGACAAACAGGGTACTTCTGCTTACGTTGTCTCAAACTCTCAGACAGCTTGTCGCATGTACCATATAAACCGGAATATAAGTCGAGATATTTTCAATAAAACAACAAGCTAAAGTCGCCGTTCGTCTTATATAGCAGTGTATAGCCGACAGTGCACCGATGTATGGCAACATGTGGCTTGCATGTGCATGAGAAGCTATTCGCATTCAAATCCAATAGCAGGTTGTTTTTTTTTTTCTCTCTTGTCTGTCTTTTTGTGTTGGTGATTTGCCTCCTCTCTGTTCTAAGTTCTCACTCCGCTTGACATTGTGTTTCATTTTTAATGGTCTTTTTTCATTCAATGAATATGAGTAGCTGTACAAGAAGGCAGTACTCAGCTGCGTTTAAACGAGACGTTGTTGAGTTCGCAGAAGCGAATGGGAATATGGCTGCTCAGTGCCGCTTTGGTGTATCAGAAAAAGCGTGCGCTATTGGAGGGTGCAGAAAGGGAAGTTGCAGATGTGCAATCCTTGGAAAATGTCATTTCGTGGGCGAAGTGTGGTTCATCCGAAGCTGGAGAATTCGTTAGGGAACTTTGTGTAGGAAGTTCACGCGTGCTCGCTGTCAGTGACCATGATACTCTCTAGAGAAGCTGGGCTCACGAAAGAAGAGTTTTGTGCACCAAACTCTCGGGTGCGTCGATTCATGAGATGCAAAGGATTTTTTTTCCGGTGGCGCACATCCATCTGTCAGAAGCTTCCAGACGAGTTCGAGGACAAGCTTATCAACTTTGAGGGCTTCGTGAATCGGCTTCAGGAGCAGAACAACTATATGATGGGGCAGTTTGACAATGCCGATGAGACCCCTGTGTGGTTTGACATGTCTTCATCGACCATGATCATGCAGCGTGGCGCCAAGGATATGAAGCTGTTGTCCACTGGCAACAAGCACTCGCACTTCACCGTCTTGCTGGCATGCATGGCAGATAGTAGAAAGCTTCCGCCCTTCATTGTTTTCAAACGTAAGACAATGCCGAAGCAAGTGTTCCCAATCCGGTGTTGTCGTTCGCGTCAACAAAAATGGATACATGGACGAGGCCATGATGCTCGATTGGATACGAGTAGTCTGGAACTGTCTGCCAGGTGCACTGCTGCATTTTTGCAGCATGATGGTGTTAGATCACTGAACAACATCACTGGTCACTGAAGCGCGCACCATGTGATGAAAAAACAGACCTCGTCGTGATACGAGGTGGTATTACGTCCACCCTCCAACTGATCGATGTTGTGCTAAACAAGCCATTCAAGGACCGAGTGCGGCTGGAGTACCAAAAGTGGATGTCCGGCGACAACCCAAAGACACCGATGGGCCGCCTACAGAGGCCTCCGCTTGTGACTGTTTGTGGCTGGGTGCTTTCCACCTGGCGTTCCTTGCCAGATTCCATGATGGAAAATATATTTAAGAAATGTTCCATCAGCAACTCGCTGTATGGCACGGAAGACAACACACTGTGGGAGGCGGCCAGGGACACACTCTCGTCTTCAGAAGACAGTGGTGCTTCGTCTGACGAATAAGAACAGTTGCGATGGTGGTAAAGGGTGTAGGGTGCTGACACCTTCTGTAAAGTTGTTTGTGCCGCGTGGCGCATGTGTCTCGCACAGAAGCCGTATTTCGGGGGTGACAACCGCCGGACGATAGATGGCGTTGTGTTCGCGTTGAGTACCACTGTTGTAGAGTGGTAGCGCCAGTGGTGACCTCTGGCGGAAGGCAGGCCTTGGTGGCGGGCGAGTGTTGAGCGAGTCTCTTCGGCGTGTGGCGGTGTCCGCGAACGAACGGTTGTCTCTCGCGGTGGGTCTGCCGTGGACGGCACCGCGGGCCGCCTGCGGTAGCCCCACGTGGTGAGTGAAGCGTTGCCGACGCCGCCTTCGGTGTGTTATTGTGTTTGTCGTGTTATTGTGTAACGATGTACTAGTGTGTTAATTATGATTTATGTATCATTCGGTGGACGATACACCGAATGATACATAAATCATAATTATCAATCGTCGTCATAAATTAGTTTAATAAAAGTATGTATGTTGTTGGTTTGTACCGACCGCGTCTTCTGTGTCCGTTCACTCCAAAAGCCCGGCTCTCGCCTCGTCGAGACCCCAAAAGGGGAGCTTTGACGATTGAGGTGCGTTGCACCCAATTCGCAAATAAATGTCGTTCAGCACTTTTGGGTTGTTTTTCTTTTTTTGTATTTTTCGGTAACTTGAACTTGGGGGTCGACTTATTCTCTCACTCGACCTATAGTCCGGTTTATGACCATGGGTAAGTCTGGTGTTCGGCCCCTAAGGGCCAGGATGGCAATGAACAAGTTCATTGCCAAGCTCAAGTCCTTAGTCGCTGAGCCCCACTACCACCCGCTGCTGAAAAGGATACAGATAAAGGAGTGACACGGCGTGGAATCTTAGAGAAACAAAGATTAGATCGCCGCATCAGGGCACCTCCCCATAAGGACCTCAATAGGCATGAAGCTTGGGACTGGTGCCGCCTGCAGACTAATACATTCTCGAATCTGCATAAGCTTCACATGATGTACCCGGCAAGATATCCCAATGCATGCCCGTGGTGTGGAGATACTCCTACACCAACACATATTACCTACAGCTGTCCAGAGCGACTTGTTACAGTCGACATAGGACATACGTTCCCAATACATGCATGGTCGGGGGAGGGGCGACTCGCTGAACGGACCCTGGGAAGCCAACTGGCCCGCCGAGCCGCTATAGCCAGTGGAGCCTTAGAAAAAGGGCCCCGCCCGCGATGAACAACTTTCTTTTTATGAAATGTTGTTTCTCTCTCTCTCTCTCTCGTCGTTATTCCGGGAGGGATGACATCCTAGCTGCAGCCACTTGATGTGTGCTTCAATAAGCCATTTAGGGACCATACAAAGCACCTGTATATGGAGTGGATGTGGTCCAGAGTCGTGACTCCTGCCGGACGGCTGACGCTGGTGTCTGAAGCAGCGATGCCAAGGCTTAGGCCTGCATTCCCGAGGAGCTCATTTGCCGTTCTTTCTGCTCTCTGCTCTATCTCAAATGCCCTTGATGGCACTGACGACTAGGCGCTGTGGGAGGACATGTCCAACAAAGGAGCTTCGGAGGAGAGCGCGTCAGATGATGATGAGTAATTAAATGTATTTTCCTGTTTTTCTCAGTCTGTATTCAAGTGAAAATTTTTAAGGGCGAAGCTCGTTATGGCATGGCTTAATAATTGTGCAACCGTACCCGTAGTACGTAACCTGTGGCACATACCCACATACCAGTGGCACACACCCGCCCTCGGGCACATATCCGCATGTCCACATGTGACGAAAAACGTAGCACGGCGTCCTTATCACGCTCTCGGTGTTTTAACAAAGCGCTGACAGCAGAAATGAGGTACATCCTCTCGTTTAGTCCTTGGATTGTCTGCTGGATGGCGGAACTTGTATATGATGAATATATGATAAAAAGAAGCAAGATAACGAGTTCAAATTTACGAGACGAGACGTTTTAATTTTTTTTCTCAGATTTGCTATGCCTGAAATGCACTCCTGACTCTATGCGGGTCCGACCTGTACGCAGGTTTTTAGGGTAATCTTGCCTTATTTCCACTGGTCACAGATTTGAGTTTGCGAAAGCCTAAGCTGAAATAGTTAATGCATGTCTTATTCATCATGTGAATACCACTATGCTCAGCGCCTGTGACATGAATGAGATTGGACCATGCTTTTTAACTGTGCATGTGTCTCTCCTATTCAGCCCTTTCAGAGTCAATGACTGACGTGGGCATCATCTGCTGACATTGTCAACATGGTCAGAGATGTACCTGTACACTATTGCCTTAATGTTTAAAATTGTTTAAAATCCCTGCCTTTTTCGGCAACTTCTCTTGCTTGGCGTGTGCTACCACATTGCGGAAATACAAGAAATTTCTTTCGTGGCCTGATGCCTCCCCCCCTTTTTTAATGCTTTAGAACAACGGTGCGCTAACTAGTGCACCACTGTTCAGGCAGTTTTTTCTTTTAACTGGCCCCTGATTGTTACACCCGCAAAACTGACAGCTTTCTGGTTTAGAACATTTCAAAAGGTCACAATTTGTTGCACTCTCGTTTATTGCTTTCCGGTATGCATTATGCCTGTTTTCATGTGGAGGCTGACTGAAACAAGATATCGCTGTGGTTGCGTTTGCTCTTTAGGGGAATCACAAAAATTGCTTTTGTCTCATTCATGATAAGACGGAGTATAATAGTTCTCGCATTTGTTCTTGCTCTCTGGATGGACTGAGAGCTGCATTGTTTTCTAGTGTGATCGACCGTGCAGACTGTTTGTGATATGAAAGTGCATGCCAGTTTCCTTGCTATAAGTGAGCCTAAATGTGCTTCCTTGGAACTGCTACTCGACTGCCTCATCAGAATCTCATTTCATAAATGTCAGCCTGTTATACAAGCACTTATTTGCGAGTTGAAATTCATATGTTGATGAGCGAGCGGCATCTAAAAATTGTTAATGTCGAGATGATGCTGCCTGTATCAAAAGTGACTTTTCTTCCTTTGTGTTTCTATTTCAGGCCACTTCATACACTTATGTTTGTACCTTTGTGAATGACACTGAAGTTTGTTGCAACGCATAGTTTTTCAACAGCCCACTTTCTTTCTGTTGTCTTGCAGTCAGTGCTATTGTGTCACGTGATCAAGCCCAGAGATGCTGACTGCACCACACCTAACGTATTGCGGTCCTTCAAGATTCAGGTGTGTGCTCTAATAGATTTCTGTCACATAAATTGGCACTGCATATGGTCTGCTTCTCTCCCACTTATCTTTGAGGCCATTCTGGAGTGAAACATTTGCGAACCATTTTTTCGTGTGCTGTGTGTATTGCCTCAGCCATTACGAAACTTCGCAAACGTGGGTCATCTTGCTGCCAGGAATGTTTGGTCCTAAACTGTTATGGTTCTTCTGGAGTTTATTGGTTTTTAAACGCTAACGCAATCCGGAATGTCCGCTTAAAGTGATGCAGAACATAAAAAACTGTGTGCCTCGTGTTGGTAAATTACTAGGCTTGTGCGAATGGTGAAGTTTAGGTTCGAGGCGAATAGGGTTAAGCTTGAATAATTTCAAATCGAATTCATATATCACATATCGTAAAGAAAAATGACCATATTTGTCATTACCCAACTGAACTGCAAAGTATTTGTCAAGAGTAGGATGCTGGGAATGTTGGTAACTGATTGCGCAGCGCAAAAATTTGACCCTGCACAAATGCTTGTGTTCGTTTCTTCTCTTTTCCAGTGCCAAATTTTTGTGTTACAGGATCAGTTTCTGCACAATATACCTTGAAAATTGAAACAAGGCCTGTGCTAATGCTATTCTTTTAGCACAAGGGAAGTGGAAGCATCTTTGAATCGTAGCAGGATTTAACTTTACGTAGAGTGCAAGTGATAACCTGTAAAATATGTTAGGTTGTAATATTTAATATACGTAGAGCAAGCTAGTATAACAAGCTTTTAAACTGAAGAAATGGACACGATTAATCGATGTGAGAGTAATATCCTCATTTTTTTTTTTTAAGTAGGGCTTCGTGCCAATGTCGGTTTTTTCGAATAGGTGTTTGTATGGCTTAGCACTTCTTTATTACAGTGAAACCATCTTCACAAGAGGTCACTTGCAAATTAATGTACAGTTAAGTGGGTGCTTTCACGGCTTAGCACACCTTCACTGCAGGGAAAACCTTTAGAGGGGTTATGTGTAGACTATTTCATTCGAATACTTTGACATTTTCATGAATTCAAGTTTGAACTGAAGTGAATTTGAGTAGATTACTATTTGTTTGAATATTCGAAGCATTCGATTATTTATTTTCTTGAGCCCACATAATTCTTTATTAGTAAAAATGTATTATCAATTATGCTCTGAGCTTACATAGTTGGATTGTGAAAAGGAGCCAGAGCTCTAGCATGGCAAGTTTTGGGAAACACTATTGCGCTTGTGACAAAAATGTGACCACAATTTTCCCATCTGATAATGAAGCTGTGATGGGAAAATGTACGACTGCTCCAAAACTTGCTTTTTCACTACCAGACTACTGATGTCCCGCTCCAAAGTTGCTCCAAAACAGTATATTTTCTTCTCCAAAACTGTTCCAAAATACTGATCTAGCTGCTCCCAGCCCTTCTGGATAACCTTGTAGTCTGCTTCTGTGTAACAGATTGCGTAGTTTAGTATTATGACGATGCTTTAGCCCATGAATGAGAAAAAGGAATAACTAGACGTGTTCACTGGGAACATTTTAAGCATATTGAGTGGTAGATAGAGAAATGCACTTTATTGTTAGAAGCTATAAATAATATTGCTCTGTATGGGCCCTTACATAACCAAGTTCAAGGTAAAAATTGGCGCTCAGAAACTTGTGTGCTTGTGAACCTTGCAGCTCCCAGGCAGCATACACGTTGATTATATCTGAATCAGATTATATCTGAAGTTGATTACATCTGAAGCCATGGGCTGGCATGTTTACCTTTGGTTACATAATGTTGGAAAAACAGCTCGGAAGGTGCGGTAATATGAATGAGTTGTTGACCAGTGACCACATCTGCACATGATCACACTCAATATTATGCTTTTACCTACTTATGCAGTGTAATTCTTTGCATCAACTAGGAAAGAGGGCTGGATGTGGCTACACAATCATGACACGTTTTTCTTTTGTTTTTTTCTTTTTGTTACACATTTTGCAGGAGATCTTGGTGAGACGGTGGATTGTGTCGGAAGAAAGGGAGAAGAAGGACGATTCGTCCTGAGTGGCACTGCTCTTTGCCGAGATCACATGTCTGTGCGCTGTACTGTACATTTGTTGTGTATAAAAGACATATACATTCGAACCCACTTTAACCATCTATCGGTTATAACAACGATGTTTCGGTGCACTCACGATTTTTTATGCTGCCCTTCGAAACAGCCCACATACAGCTAACATTTTTTAAAGCCTCCCTACTTTTTCAGCGAACACTTTCGATACGGTTGCAGTGAAGATATAGCGCATACAAAGCGAAAAAATTGTTAAAACAGGCATCCTACCGCATGTGATAGTCGTGCGCTTCCACGAGCCTCCCTACAGCTTACTTGTGACGAAGATATCGTAGACTGTGGCGAACACCCCATGCAGATTTTGGATGCTAGCGAAGTCGCTCACTTTCTAAGTGTTTCTTCGGTGGCAGAATTAAATTGAAGGAAAAAGTACAAGGCAGCATGAAGACGTGCTGTCAGCTTTCGCATAACAAACTTTTCTGGCGTCGTTCTCGGCATCTATGGCTTTCGCGATTAACCAACAATGCCTTCGAACGCTAAAGGCAACAAATGCGAGAAGGGACAGCTTTTCCTTTTATAAATTTTCACTGCGACACTCAACTCTTTCACATGATGGATTGACGTGGCGGTGAGACACTTCAGTGGAAGGGCGTAAGTTTATTGCGAACGTAGTTTAACTCACTTGTGACCAAAGGGGCGTTGCTGGACCAGCAAAAAAGTCGAACTTGTTAGTGGAGTGGTTGTTAGCACATTTCTATAAAAATACATAAGGAAAAAAATGGTTTGGTTGCTAAGTAGACGTTTTTATGGGCGAGTTCATATACAACGAACTATTGATATAAAATCACTTATTGCAGCACTTTCGAGTTTGTTACAAAAAAGTTCGACTGTATATACTGGTATGCAAAATTTTGTCTCATCATTTCGGAGTTGTCTAGATGGTACAGACAACACGGTTCTCATTACATATTCATCAGCAAGTGCAGGCTTTGCTGTTCCAATTAATCTGACTGCCACGGAAATAAATTTAGTGCCAAGCTATGTACATATTTCCTCTAAGTGCCAAATATTTAATTATGGAGCCATTGTGTTTACACACAACACCAACACATTTATTCCCAGCACTTTAAGTGAAAGTGCAGGCAGTGGAATTACACGCAAGAAGCTGCAAGCTAACTATCTTGGATCGCTGAGATACAGTTACCATATACAGTTACCATTACGAAGCGGCACAAATATTTGACGCCACTGCTTACACTCATGAAATCGGACTGCAGCGTTTTGCAATACTTGTGTTACGTGGACACTTTTGAAAGGCTATAAAGTCGATGACCACTGAAATGCCGCAACTCTGTTGACTTGACCCAGTTGTTGCACTTCTACACAGCAGTTTTGAACGCCCATTGAGAGGTCCAGCTGACTCTTGCAAAAATTCTATGGTGCTGCAACTCTTCTTCTTTTTTTTGAATTCGTACTACTGAAAGTGAAATAATATCAGTGATCCCACTCCTGCGCCAACTGCGCCAAATCAGATTTACTGCGCCATCCTGATAATATCAACGAAAATTGCGCCAAGGTCAGATTTGCGAGCATCTATCACCAGCAATAGCCACGCCAGCGCGTCAAGACATTTGCATCTTGTTTTCAAGGCCACCATAGTCACACTCGCGCGCCTAGAATTATTCCGCTAAATTAACAGCGGTGGCGTGTGCGTCCTAAGTAATCCACGATGCTATGTTTGGTGCCGTTGCAACTTCTGTTGTGCAAGTCTGCTTAACAGTGAAACGTGCTCTCCGCAGGGGCTCGTGACGTCTGGTCCAATCAGTGCGTGAAACTGTGGCGGTGATTCGTCGGTAGACTTTTTCGCGCTTCGCGTCCACAGAAGAACACGTGTATGGTGGAAATGCATTGACACCTCTCCTTTAATATACTTTATTCATGGATCTTCATTCAGAAGTTCATTTTCGTAATTCCTGCCACCAGCACATTATCCGCGTTTGTAGTCGCTGTGCGGTAAAATCTTCTGAAAACACCTTGCCATTTTGAACTCGAGATTGCTAGGGTTCATATTCAAAATTTTGTATGCCTTTTTAAACATGCTTCCTGGTCGGAGCAGCCGGAATTCAGTTTTAATACGCAGCTCTCGATAGGGAGGCTATCGCTGGCAGCTCTGGGGTCGAAACGCCCATGGTGATGTAGCTATGCCTTGTTACACGTCCGCCTCTCACTTTTCCAAGGTCAATAGCTGACGGTTAAAAAAGATAAGCATCACATCATTGCATTCATTGCTTCGTTTTGGGGGGGGGGGGGGAAGCTGTGTCGCATGAAGGGCGCATTCGTGAGTGGGCTATCTCGAGGCCTACCCTCTGCTTTGCGTTTAGATAACTGACAGTGCATAAACTGGTTTGGCAGTCGGAGTGATCATTGTCCCTTTAGCCAGCGTTCATCTGAGTTATGCGATGTCGTGTCCAAAGATACTATTTGTTAGTTTCACTTAGCAATGAATGAAATGCCAATAGTCTGTTTGCATTGAGAGTACAAGATGGAAGGGTATAACAGCCATCTTTAATGCCTGCTGAATTGGTGCGAGTGCCAGTGATCACCCGAAGTTCATAACAACGCCCCCCTCCCCACCTCTTGCGTTCTTAGTTTCTTCCTGGTTTTTGAAGATGGGTGGCGGGTTCTGAGCACAGAGAGATAAGTGCCGGAGAAGGTTGGCTTTGTGAGACCAGCTAAATGACGTCATGTTAAGCCCAATAGTATAATCAAATGTGAAAAAAAGTACCTTTCTATGTCTTTGGAGTCTTCTAAGGGAAATGCAGTTGCGACTGTGTGTGTCTCTAGTGTTGTACGTCGCAGTGCTGTCTACCTATATACTGATAACCGCATAGGTGTATAGAATGTTAATGTTATTTCACTAAGTACAATTTTATTCAATCAGTAATATGTTTCTTTGCTACGAAAATAATCACTGAACTAGTTTTCTCAGAATGGCCAACATAAGGATGCCATTATTTTTGTGTCATCGACTAAAATAGGGAGTGCTCCTAAGATGACTGGCTTCATGAGATTTGAAATCAATGAAAATATTTCTAGCTCTTCACAAGAGAGAAGAGCCCCAAAATAATTATTCATGCCCTTGAATCTAAATGCAACTTGCTTCTCCTCCAGGATGTGAAGTTAGCTCCTCCAGATTGCTCAAAATTGAAAATTTTTCTGCTATACAGTGCTCCAAAATGGAAAATTTTGCTGCTTCAAAGTGCTCCAGATTTTACTGCTCCAATGTGCTTCAAGATATAATCTTTTGCTGCTCTAAAGTGCTCAAAAATGAAAATTTCGCTGCTCGGAAAATTGATCCAAATCAGAAGACCTCGGTGGCATCACTGTAAGATAAATCCACTTAAAAGCACAAATATTTAGACTTCTTGTGTTTAAACATTTCAATAACTGGTTATTTTGTAGTCTTGAATGTATGTTTATATTTTAAGTTCTTCAGAAGCAAAACTGTGGAAAGTGAGACATGGCATGACAATGTGACAAAGACAAGCACATTGCTGTTGTTGGGAGTTGTGAATTTGCACATCTCAAATGGTTAAAAAAAACTTGACTGCACAATTAAAAAACTTGACTGCACAAAACGTGACTGCACCTCGCATGTACTACTTTCAAAGCATACTGGTTAAATATTTTTCGAATTGCGAGTACGAGTTCACTGTGAACAATACGGCTCAATTGCGCTCTCTCCGCTTCCATCACTTCACGGCCATCGAAGTTATGATAGAGCAGTGAGTTGTTCCATTGACTGGATGGGCTATTGACTAGATGGCCTTCGAAACACTCTGTGTCGCAGATTGTGAATGACTGTTGAGTCAATAGACTATCGGTTGAAAGACCTTTCGAATGACTGTGTGCCATGAGTATAATGGCAAAAAGCTTTTTACCTAGAGCGAACGTTTCTAGAAAATGCGTTCACCAAAAATGTGATATGGTAAAGTCACTTGTCCAGACACTGGATGGAGCCTGAAGCACTTTTATTATTCATACATATCCTTGAGTTTTGGTGCATAACATATGTAGCTGGTCATGTTCTTGCAGAGACGCATTGTCACCTGGCACTACAAGAGTGACAACGTTTTATAGACAAAATTTGCTTGTACTATGAATTGAACAATTTAAAAACTACTAGCGAAAAAGTGATTTGCTTCTATCTGTATCAATTATAATGAAAAACTGCAAATTCAGTGCACATACGGCTCTGGATACATGACTCTGTGTTGCCAAAGCCTGTTAAATTCTAATGCACATACTTCCTGACAAGATGACACTGAAGTGAGAACTGAACCAAGCGTCTTTGGTTACGTACATCATTAGTAAGACAAAAACGTGATAGGCCAAAAGTGAGGATTACCTTCCATAGACCTAGAGGAAATTCAGAGGAGTAGCAGCAGAGTATCCAAACTAGACAGGGTGAAGACTGTGGACATCTACAGGTGCAGTGATGACACAAAGAAGCTGTCAAACACCTTGGTGTAGATTTAGAATCAAAGATTCGCTGGTGCTGTTGACATAGAGACTATAAAGTGGTGCTTCGAGGAGATTAGTAAATAACGTCGTCAGAAGCCTAAGATGTATCGTAGATGACAACCGTACAATTACGCTAAGGCAAACGAAGCAAGCCAATGAGGAGAAGTTACTACTGTCACTCGACTTCTTGGATGGTCACAAACCTGTAATATGAAGCAGATGATGCCACTGTTTTGTTGACTGCAGCCACAACGATTTCGATAAGCTCTAGATCTAGTGACTGTAGTCAGGGACAGCATGTCAGAATTGAAATAATTTTTATTTTAGCATCAGACTCCAAAAACACAAATCTTGTGGGCCATGAGCTAAAAACCACAAAACAGCTTGACAAGGCTCACGGTCCCTTGCATGTTTTCCTATGTCAATGAGGCTGACCATACATTGCAACTAGGTGTCGACACAACCACAGCTACGTTAGCATAATATGAGACACCATGGCCCAGTCTAGAGAAGGCAACAGTAATGAAGCCTAGGTGACAAGCAATTGGTTTATT